CAGGATCTACTACAGTTGTCAACTATTTTAGTGTTGAGTTACTGCTTCCAAATGTTACAATGGAATTCCTTTAGCTGTCACTGACACCAAACCAAATTAAAATATACTGGAAATATTTTCTAATATTCTTTGAAATCACCTCAAAATTCCACAATCCAGAACCTGGTGAGCAGATTTCTCAGTGTGGGATATTTGCTTCTCCAACCTGGCAGAATTTAATGCAAGTGTAAATCCATATTCTTCTTGTGTTCAGTATTTAAATACCTTTGTCAATCAGATGGTTCAATGTCATTTTCTTTATATTATAAAATATTTATTTAGCTAATGATTTTGATTAGTTTACATCAAGTCTTAAGTCCTTGTAATCAGTTTTTGTTTACAATTCATGTTCAATGTGTAGCATTGTTACATGAAAAGAATTCAATGAACTAGACCTATGTCTTTCATATTAGTGGTTTTTGAAATGGTCAGTTACTTAACAAGTATACCTTGCTAAGCAAGTTTTTTGCCATCTTGCTAGTGGAAAACTTGTATTCGTAATAGTGAATGATTTTGTATTGATTGTCTAAGATAGAAGATAGTGTTGTTCCAATAAGCAGCTAAAGACTTAGTCAGGTATTATTGCTGTATGTATTCACTCCTGTGGAGCTCTTGTCAAATAGTTCATGTACTTAAGTGATATGGGGACAAAAAAAATGGCAGATAAACTTTTTGTTCATTAAGCTTCATGCTTATTGTATCTGTTCAGATATGAAGAAGTTCACTTTTTGTACATAAATTTATTGTATGTAGACAAGAATGGAAAATGCTCAGAAAGAATTTCTCACATCCTTGGGTAGAAAGTTTATTCAAAGATTCTAGTCCAACACAAACTGTGCATGTTAAAATGAATGCAATAAGTCCTTTGTTTTGACTCTTTGCTGGTGTATGTGGCTTGACTCAATCTTTTGTTTTTAAGTTGAAACCATTGATCACTTCAGTCATATTGTTATTTCCTTACATTTAGACATAGATTCTAATTCTATCATAGAGCACTGAACACTATCAGGGAATAGAAAGATTATTTAATTAACATAAGCTCTTTTTTTTTAAAACTATTTCTTTAATAGTTTACTTTATATGTTTAATTTATAACATCTCACATCTATACATTTTTCAAACATTGACCTTTCCATAGAGTCAATTAAATACATAAAGCATGTATCCATTATTGCTTTTTAAGTTTTTAAATATAAATATTGAAACTATATACTGAATATTCCCTAATCATATATTAAGACTTTTTATATATTTTTTATCAACAAATATGTATCTATTTTCTTGCATGGTATTAATCAAGAGTGGCTTATACATTATACACAAGCTAAGTATGTATATGTTTCATTTTTATTCATGTGTACATTACAAAGCTTAAAATATTCTATCTTGCAAAAGGACCATTATTCCTGGTATTGTCCATATTGTTATCTTTTGATGTGAGGAAGGAGGTTCTTCATATGTTACAAAGCCTAACTTCTTGTGGTGCAATACTTCCCCTTTTTTTTTTTTACTGTTCTCATGTGCAATTTTCAAGACATGGAATATCTTAGAGAAACTAAATGTATAAATAGTATTTACTGTGTGTTTCAGTATGTACACAACTGTTGTTTCTCCAGAGTGAGCAAGATTGGTGTAAATGATAGACTTTCTTAATAAGTGTTTAGACACCTTTTTTTTATTTCCGATGGCTTACATCGACTACAACATAATGAAATTTTCCAAACTGTTAACTTTGCTTAATAAGGTGTGTCCTCGAGTCTGAAGATTAATAAGGAATGCAGTGTTTCCCCTGGCTACGCAGCCCCAGCTTTAATTAGTAAGTCGCCAAACAAGTTGGTAAAATATGTATGAATGGACATAACTAAACAAAAGCTCAGTCAGCCAAACAATAGAAGAGATGCTTACCACACTCTAGCTTTAAATAAATGACTTTGTAAGTAGTATGCTTCAGGTGTTAATTGCATTGTTCTTGTCTGGGTCTATTGTTTATATTTACACTTTCCCATTAAGTCTGTGTTCAGTCAACTGTTGTTACATGGTTTGCCAAATTATACAAGTTTTTATAAATTTCCTTATGTAATTTTTCATGTCTGTTCGATTTGGATATTGTTAATAGTAATTTATTTAAATTCTTTAGAAATCACAAGTTTTGGGCTTACATATTTGAATGAATAATATGAAACTATTTAGACTGAATCCAGTAAATAATTATTGTCTATAGCCAAACAAAAATATCTAGCATTGGGCTATAAGTATTAATTTAAGTTTCAAAAATATCATTTGTAACTTTTTCTTGTAACTTTTGTTCAAACATTTTAATTTAATGTTTCATTTGTAACAGTTCTGTGTATGTTAAGAAGTTAATGTAAAATTAGATACTCAAATATGTTTAACTTTCGAACTGTTCTTGGGAGTTTATTCCACTGACACCTGATCTTGATTGAATGAAGTTTTGCTGAGACACACTCAATGAGCCAGCATTTTACATTTTAGGCCATTTGCCCCATTCCTTACTTCTAAATAATAATAAGGCTAGTCTTCGAGTCTGAAGATCAGTGAGGAATGCAGTATTTCCCGTGGCTACGCAGTCCCAGCTGTGATCTACATATTTTGCCACATCCAGGGCAAGCATAACCATTGTCCACAGGTGGTCTATTTAGATTTTCTTTTCGCTGTCTAAATAAATCTAAATAATACTATCTTTGTTATTGTCAACTCCTTAGACTAGCAGAAGTTTATCACTTGGTCACCTAATTGACTTGTAGAAGTGTTTCACTTAGTTATCCTCATTGTTAGGGACAACCATTTGACGCTTAACTACTGTGCTGTCCTCTAGTCTAGCAGATGACTTTTTTAAATATTTTTTTTTGCAAGTAAATGTTAAAGTTTAGACCCCTGCGTAAATCTAATATTTACAAATATAAATATTATAGATATATAAATAGATAGGTATGTTACATGAATCAAAATTATGAGCTAGTTTATTGCTAACACACATACAAAAATCCAGTATCTCCATTGCTGTTTTAACAAGGAATTGAGTATTGATTTAGAATAACACTCTTCAATTTACCATTTTTGTAAAAAAATAATACTGAAAATTTTTTAGAACTTTTGACAGCATGGGTGATATAAACTTTTTACAAAACTTATATCCACTCAATCTGTCTGGTACAAATTATGTACACATTTCTCCCATACCCTATCTCAGATCAAGTTGAAATTTTCTTGTCTGACAAAACAAGAATCAAATTTTTTTAAAATTACCAGTTGGTTAATTAACTATTGGTAATTAATAATTTTGTTTTGTATCGAGCAAGGAAATTGTACTTGACTGATGTGGTGTTATAAGTTGAATTAGTCCCCTTTATACTTAGTGTAGAAACTAAGGTTGCCATTTGAAAGTGTTATAAGTTGAATTAGTTCCCTTTATACTTGATGTAGAAACTAAGGTTGCCACTTTAACTAATAATATTTTCATAAGCACTTCACACTGGCATAGTGGGTTTGAATTCAAGTTTGACATTTTGTTTTGTATCTAAAAGACATTTAAAAAGTAACATTCACCCAGATACTCCAATCTCCCCCCCCCTCCTTTTTTTTTGTATCCAAAAGACATTTAAAAAGCTATTACAGTAACATTCACCTAGGTACCCCAATCTCCCCCCCCCCCCCCCTTTTTTTTTTCCCCAACTGGTCCAGATAATTTAGAAGCTTTCAGCGCATCAAAAAAAGCTAAAATCATGAAATTGTGCTAAACTAAAAACAATATTACAAATTTAATTACATGACTAAACTAATTGATACAATTACTCTTATAATAAGCTTTGTTGTTGAGAAAAAGAATTTTTTTATTTTAAATATTTTGTAGAAGAGTATTTGACATACCAGTCAGCTCAAAAACTATAGTATTAAGAGCTCAGCCATTCTCATAGAATTGTATCAACATTTATAATGAGTCATTTTGTATATGTGTCAAGACAGTCAGTGTTTGTTTACTAACAGTAATACTACCTATTATTGAACAGTGTATATTAGCTTCAAATTAAAATTAATTCACTTACAACTAATAGAACACGATCATTTAAAATAAAAAAAGATCAAGCGCTCTCTCTCTAAACATCAATTTCTAATCCCTCAAAATATTTCTCACAACATGAAGGATTCAAAGCCATGACCTACATAATAGAGTCAATATGTTATGCATCGGTGAAACAAATTCCTAATTTGACATAGAAATTCTGTAATATACTGATGCTTCTTTCAAAAGATGTCAATTGTACTTCTTCTCTGTTGTTATGTGTTATTCTAGTTGTTTGTATTAGAGAATTAAATAATACAAAGTCATTGGTTCTGACAACTTGTTTTGTCTGTTTCTCTTATATGAAATGTGTTTTTAACCCTTTAGATGCATGTGGTTGTTTAGCCTCCAAATACTAGAACTGTAATTCCATTTTGTATGCAGTTATTGTAAAAAAAGCTCAGCACTTTAAGGGTTAAATGTCTTTCTGCAATAGTTTGTTACTTGCTTTTATATTTGAGAGTCTAGTGTTATATGTTCTATTTATGGTTGCTACTTTACTTTTTAAATCTTCCTTCTTAGAGTGTCTCTAATTTGAGTGATTGCTCAACTGGTGTTAACTCTTTGCAAGTTATGTTTTGGTGTCTTGTGTTTTATGTCATTCTTACCTTGTGTACATGGTGTATCAAAAAACTGAGTGAGTCTGGTATTACTTGCTCCTGTTAACTTGGAATTGTCTCTTGGGATTTATTTTACTACTCTTCTGTTTTAGATGTTAGTCTTTTATGTTTTCTTGGGATCTTGATGTTAAGCGTTCGTTTAATTCTAAAGAATAGGCCAGTGATACACTTTTATTTAAACTTCTTGTATAAAGAGTTCTCCAGTTAGTTACCTGACTAATTGGATTGTCATTTATGATTATGTCTTACACAATTGTTTCCCAAACTTTGCTCCACGGAATCCTAGTATTCCGTGAGGCCTGAATAGATGTTCCATGAACTACTGGAATAATTAAAGTAGGCCACCAGGGGAATTAATCTCTCTAAAATAATAAGTAAAGTGTTCCCGCCAAATACTCCAAATGTGCGAAGTGTTCCGTTAAGAATGAGGTTTTGTGACTACTGCCATACACAATACTGTAACACTAGAATACATGTTTCATCCAATCAACTTAATGTGGCATTTTAAAATATGAAAACTGAATCTTCAGCACATTTTTACTGGACACTTAAATACTTGGTTCGTTGTTTTTTTTTGTTACCTTGCTATATTATATTATGTGAATGATTTTGTACCCCAAGATTACTAGCTTTAACTGCTATTGTCAGGGTTTTATGAACTTTTGAAAACTTTGTATTGTCTGTATACATTGTTCTGTTTAAATTATTTCTTCAGTTACTTCCCATGGTGTATGTGTGTGTATGATGTATGCTTTAACTTTGAGAACTACCTATCAGTGAGTTTCCTTGTATGTAAATGTGTATATAATAGTACTGTATAATGGATAAAGAGTTGGTCAGACGTGACCTAATTCTTATATTAACACATTTTGCAGCATTTTTTTTTGTTGTTGTTTTTTGAAGTCTATGAATAAAAAGAAATATTATTTATATGTGTTTTTATTTTTCTTTAGATTTAGTTTTTCAACTAAGCTTGATTCGGACACATCCCTTGCTCCATACGCTAGGACCAATTTGAACAAATGCTCCTTCTTCCCTAGCTCTATTAGAGCATTGAATGGGATGATCAATTTACCCATCTACTAACTATGGTTTTACTCGGCTTAGCTCGGGTTATTTTTTGTTCTGTAGTAAAATGTATAGTAAAATGAAAAGGTCCCCTTTCAGATCTATAGGGCAGGTGATGTTAAGATGTTAAGGTCATCTGGTTCTTTGGCCAAATGTTTACGAGCAGCACGCAGAGCGTTTCCCAAACGGATCAAAAGTAAAAAGTTTGGCTGTGAGCTAGTTTATTTAATTGTTTGTTTCAATTATTTCTTGTGTGTGTGTGTATATATATATTAATATTTATATATATATTTATGTTATCGATAAAGTCGGTAGGTCGTGTGGTATGCTGTTCGAACTGTCGTTACGATGGTCCTTGGTCGTGCGTTCGAAGCCTGCTCGCTTCACATTGACGTCCAGCATGAGGTTTGGGCTATGACGTAGCTTAATAATGTGAAGAAACGTTTGAAAAGTACAAAACTTGAAAGTCAGCTGAACATTTTACTGCCAAATTAGTCGTGTCTTTAGACAAAAGGTACGAAGTCAGAGGAATGCCACTTTAATCTGTAGTTAAAATGTCTATGTTAAAAAAATGTTTTAGCTCTTGCAAAAGTTGGTAGATTTCTTTACAAAGTCGTGCTTAGAATCTCTTACAAATAAACATAGTTTCTAAGCCTTTGTTGTTTTATTTTATTGATTACTTTGTTACAGTTCTCAAGTTTAAAAATAGCTTGGAATGGGAAGGACATAGAATTATATACTTACGTGGGTGGAGTCGGGGGTTAATTGGTTTAAATGAAACTTTAATTGCTGTATAACAAGTCATCAGTGTTTATAAAAGGTCTACTTTAATTACAGCTCATTATAGCAGTAAATACCTAGAAGTACAATTATACTTCAGCGAGAGAGAGAGAGAGAGAAAGTTGGTGTTATTGGAAGGGTGAGAGGGGGGGGGGGGAGAAAATATTGATATTCCATAAAAAAAATAAACAACTAATATCTATTCTTCAAACCAATCATTAAAAATACAAATAACGTTTTTCCTGGCATAATAACCTTTCGAGTCATTTAAAATGACATATTGAAATATGTAAAAGAGTAAAACCATAGCCTGTAATCAAGAAAAAAATAACTCGTACCTGCTTATATTGGAATACGACCTGGTGTACTTACGAAACAGTAACCATTTAAACTTCTATTTAAAAAAATAACACTAAACAACTTATTATAGACTTCAGAAGAAAAATTAGACCAACTCTAGATAAACAGTATACCAATACTACAAATGAACACATGCAGATATCTGTGTGTCACTGTTGTAGACAGCAGCTTTCGTGGGAAGACCATCTTTAAAACCTGGCAAAGAAAGTCACACAGAGGCTAATATTTGTTTCCATGTTTTATAGTTTCACATAACACTACAACATCAAGGCTAATTGTTAGTGTGCGACCAAATCATACAAAAGATGATTTGTTAACATATTGTTGGCAAGGTAATGTGCCATCTTAACAGTTGCGCCGCTTGGACTGTCTTATAAAAAGAAAAGCATTAAAAATAGACACACATCTCAGATGAACTCTTTTTAAAAAAAAAGTCTTAGTAAAATCAAAACAAAATTTATAGAAAAACAACGAAGTCGAATGGTCACGAGGTGGGCAAACTTCCGTCTATTAAAGCAAGAAATGAACGCATAGAAAAGGTATTTGTTACTTTATCCGACAATATCATCGCTGCTCGTTGACAAGGGAACGTCAACGAATCTTTGTTTTTAATCTTTTTTAAAAATTATTTTTATTATTGAAAATTGTTTCCACATAATGAAAGCATAGCACATTTCTTATTTGGATCAATAGAGAAGTCTTAGTCTTGATATGGTCCACTATTGTCAAGGGAAATCTTCACTTATAGCAATTCAATGTAATAGTGACCTTTTAAACTTTATTTACATTAAAGAATACTTGTTATAAAACTTGCGGTGTTGGACATTTACATAATGCCCGCCATAAATGTCACTAAATATATCACTATTAGCCATAGTGAGAGAGACCAAAAGGTTTCCTCGGCATCGACTATGATCAAATTCATATTAAGTAAACTATCTAAGTTGAATACTATTTAGGATGAAAATGTTACATTTGAACAGCTATTTGCGGCATGTGGGTGCGAAAGAGTTAATAGTATTCTGGCAAAAAAATGAGCACATTTTTATATTACTTTGGGGGTCATTTATTTTCATAGTGAAATAAAAAAAATCACCACAGCAATGGCAAATATGACCGCGGCATTTTTGTATCAAGACTTCAGTTCTGGACAGATGATTATTGGTATGGAAGTGAGTTCAGTCCTTTCAGCTATCATCTCAGCATTTGGTATTTTAACTAATACAATAGTCATTCGAACTTTCATGGCCATGGGGCCAGCAGACGGGATGACCGTTGCGTTCTTACTTATGTCCCTTGTGGACTTGACCTTTTCAGCCGTCTCGTTCAGCCTGAGCATCAGTTCAATATTTTTTATTCTGGAGACCTTGTCTGGTAGCTTCTTCCCCGTACAGCCATACGGCATTGGGGTTTACTTTGCCAACGTGTTAATCCCCTTGTCTGCCATCATTTCGCTCCAGACAAGTTTCATCGCTATAGCCAGATGTTTGTGTGTGGCTGCGCCATTTTATTTCAAGAACGTGTTCACGCGGTGCCTCACTCTGGCGTTTATGGTGTCTTTTACCGTGTTCTCGTCTGCAGTGTACGTTCCGGTCTTTGTGTTTATGGGAATGGTTGACAAAACGGACAATATAAAAAATCTAACCAGGCCAATGCTGTGGGTTTCACCCAACAGGGAGCCAACAAAGAGTGTCGTCTCAACCATCATCGCCATAATAATTCCACTGGCTTCGCAACTCATCGTCATCGTTACACTCGTTGTCATGGCAACCTCTTTGAGAAATTCGTACCATTTTAGGCTATCTGCAGCAATAGGGATAGATTCACCAAAACGCAATCGTCAAAGTACAGCGCCCAGTGGAATTGATAGACCTACTTCGAAAACGGCAAACAAAGAATGTACAATTTCTAGCAAAGAAATGCAAATAATCAAACAGGTGGCGCTTATATCAGCACTGTATGTCGTCTGCCACATACCAAAGATAATGTTTATAATTACTGGACTTGTTCTTCCTGAGTTCAATTTGAATCGCGAGCTTCAAAATTTGTATCTGACGATGAGTAACACTAGGATGTTGTTTGAAATGATCAACTCGGCATCTAACTTTCCAATTTACTTCAAATATAATTCAAAATTTAGAAAACTGCTGGCAAAGAAAATGTGTCGACAAAAAAAAAATTCGTAGGCCTAATAAAATTATAAAATAAGTTTTCTTTTATTTATATATACTATTTAAACAAAAGTAAATTTGAGTTTGTTGTTGTTTTTAACGATCCATGTTTGATGAATAATCACAATTAGTTAAATACAGTATGTCTGAATGTCAATCTTGGATCTAAAAACGTCAAAGGTACTATTAAAAATCCGATTTCCCTGTATCCTGTATCTCTTGTATCGAACTCAAATATATCATTGGTCTTATTACTCTCATTAAAGAGAAATTAAATTACAGATGAATATGTCAATTGTGCCTATTATGATAATAAATGTTAACTTAAAAAAATAAGCGTACCTTTGAGCTAACAAAAAGTAATAAGGAACCCTATATGTGAATAGCAAGAACCATGTTTTACATACTACCAATAACAAAGAGTCTTCATTCATACAAACGTACATTTAAAACATGTCTGCCACAATAGTCACTGACTTCCACTGCATGAGAAAATGCTAGTCGCTTGTCTAATAAGGCCAGTGTAAACATTGTAGAATTTTTACATGTAGACAGAGCCGGCCTTAGGCCACTGCAACCTACGCAGCCGCAGTGGGCCCCGCACTTTCATAGGCTCCCCTCTAATTCAAGGTGTAAATTATAAAATAAAACCATTATAATTTATAAATATAATAACGAGGTTTCCACGGTCCCCTTATTTTTCCGAGCCTCCTGGAAATTTCCTGAATTTGCAAAATATACGAAAAAGTCCTGAAAATCTCTTAAAATTATTGAATCACCTGAAAACTCATAAAAATTTACTGAAAAGTAGACAATATTGTCATTCTGAGGTGCCAATCCTACGCCCGATTTAAAAACAAAACGGCAATGTGAGCTTTCATTTAATAAAAATTTATTGCAAATTCGAATGTGTTTTCTAATACAAAATCTTAATTTTGATAAATATGCTTATCTCTACCCAGACTGGGTAAAAATAAATTCACTATTGTTACTAAACAATGCACACACTATATACGTTTTTTTATGCTTTGATAGCGACCCTCGTAATGGGGAAAGCCGACATTGTTTTTGTGCAGTCTGTCTATCTGTCACGTTTAAATCTAAAACAAAATACTAAAAGTGCTTTTGGAAATATTTTGTGGCTTACAAGGTTTGTATCATTCCGTTACGTTTTGACTTCCAACATCGAACTATTTCTGCATACAGCTCTTTTAACAATGCATAAATGAAAGTATTATGTAAGCGAGATTAAAGTACGAAAGAAAGCCTATTCTTTTTGTTAAATTTATACATATGATGTTCCTCATTATAAACAAAATGTTAAAATTGTATATATATATGTATGTATATATATATATGTATGAATTGATTTTGAGTTATAAATAATTAGCTATATATGGGTGAATAAATTTAAAAAATAATTATACATAATAAATAATGGTATGTTAGAGGTAAACATAATATGCTATGATATAACAAAAGGAAAAATTGTATGATTCCAATGTCACTGAAACTCAATCATGTTTTTGTTTAATACATTTA